AAAAAAAAAAAAACACTTTTCACAGAAATAGTTCTTTGTCATTACATTATTTACTCATATGTTTGTACATTTTTGTATGTTAATTTATGAATGATTTTTTCAGTAAAAAACACATATTCAAGAACCAAACCTTGGTGGTCATTTCTCTTTGTCTGAGACAGTTTGGCTCTTTGGGGCCCTGGCCTTTCTCATGGTCCTTCAGCTTCAAGCAGCTCAGCTGACCTCTGGGTGTTCCCAAGGTAAAGTGCCTGACCACTTTGAGCAGCCTGGTCAAGCGATAAGCTCCACTGTGTAACAGAAGCCCTGAGCCCCACTGTGCTTCCCAGGCAGCCCCTCCCAATACACACAGGGGTGTCCGCTTTAAGAGTCACCCAGGTGGCATCAATAAAATTGAATAAGACACTTGAGGGGAGGAGTATTGGAGAGTGGGGTGGTAAAGGGCTGATGGAGTTTGGACCAACCCAGGGTTTGCTATATGCTTGATTCTGCTCGGAGATCATAATCATAATTTCTGTGTATTGAATTAGCTGCCATGTGAGTTGTACTTAACTTATGCTAGTTTTGAGCCCGGGACCTCATGAAGCATATATAACCCACGGGTCTCTTTACCTAATAAAACACCGTGCCCTCAAGGAAAAAGTTTTTTTTCTAGTGTGGCAATCAATGTGTTGAGAGAGAGAGTACAATTCTAGGCCCAGGTGCTGGGGACATAGTGGTGCAAAAAAATGAGATAGGATTGTTAGCCTCATACTGTCCACTGGAGGTTTGATTTATTAAAATTACAGCCACAATAAGCGAGAGAGCTACAGGCAGTGAGTGTGTCTGTCCTAGGGCAGGCATCCAGGAGGACGATGGAAGGAAGGTGGGGAAGACAAGCTTGGGGTACAGCTGCAGGGCAGAAAAAGCTGGCATAGCTGGAGAGGAGGGCCAAGGGGTGCAAGGAGACTGCCCGGCGGGGGAGGCAGGGCCTCGTAGGCCTGGTGAGGAGTTTGCATTTCATCCTTGGACAATGGATTCAAGAGTTTTCAGCAGGTAGGGCTGTGTGGGATAGCTTTTTAAGTGATGGCTCTGGCTGTAGGGAGAAGAGTAGAGAAGCAAGGGTGAGTCAGGTGGGTGCAGACATGCTGGAGGCAGGGAGGTGTTGAAGTAGCGCCCCCAGGACCTTGATGGGGGGCTGCTGGGAGGAGGACTCCACTTACACTGCGTGGCTGGCAGGGCGATCCCCTGAGACACAGGCACTGGTGTCAGGCCAGGTTCCTGGAGAAGCTAGTAAAGCTCCATTGTGATTATGGACCAGGGGTGTTGAGATGACCAAGCAGAAATAGCAAATAGACACTTGTACATGGGACTCAAAGGCAGGGTCCACACCCTGGGTGGATCTGTGTCAGGTGCTGAAGGTAAGTGAAGATCCAGGAGCAGAGGAGATGGCTGGAGAACAAGGAAGGTGCCGGCCTTGACCTGCTGTAAGGAGGAAGGAGGCATGGGAGGTTGAGAAGGCCAAGGCGTGTGGCAGGCATTGAAGGCAGCCGAGGAGGCTACAAGAGAAAGAAGGAAAAGTCATGAATCTGCAGTAGGGGAGCGCTTGGCAGCGGCCCTCTTGCTGACTTTGTGGAAGTAAGCCACCCTGGCCCAGGGCGAAATGAAGCAGCAGTGAGTATGGACATCTCTTGAATTTCCTGTGAAGGGGTGAAGAGAAGGCTGGGGGAGCACTTGAGGCTCAAGGGGGTAGGGTTTGGGTTTTCCAACAAGAAAAGCTTGAGCATGCTTCTGAACCATGGGGAATGGCTACTAAAGAGAGTCGAGTATATGCCAGAGACAAGGATGACCCAGTGGGAATGTTCCTGAACACTGGCAGGGGATGAAATTTAAACTACAAAAATATAGGAATCAAGAGCTCTTTCTAGACCATCACTGGCAGACACAAGCACACTCAGAAGATCCATATTGCTGTTAGGAAGGTCAAGGGTCCCTCCCAGCCATTCATCAGGATCAGAATTTGGCAGAATAAACTGACATCGGTGGCTCATGCCTGCAATCCCGATACTCTGGGAGGCCAAAGTGGGTGGATTACTTAAGCTCAGGAGTTTGAGACCAGCCTGAGCAAGAGTGATACCCCCGTCCAGAAAAAATAATAAATAAGAATTTGGCATAACTGATTCCTTATACCACCACTTGCTTCCACTTTCAAAGATTTTTTTAATTTAGAAGAGGTCTAGTAATAAAAATTATAGTTCCCATTTATTGAGCACTTATGTGGCAGGGTCTGTGCAAAGCACAATATACTCAATTGGTCCTCAACTTTGCAAGTTAGATATTGCTCCTTTTCTAGAGCTTAATCTCTCAACCTTGCTCTTAACAAGGAGGGGGCTGCTCTGAGCACTGTAGGGTATTTGGCAGCACCCCAACCTCTACCTTCTAGGTGCCAAGCAAAAATAGCCACCAGAAATTGTCAGACAACTCCTAGGAGAGCAATGGGGACTGCTGCCCTAGAGGAACAGAAGCCATAGCTTGCCTGAGGTCCCAAAGCG